GAGTGCGCACACAGAGAGAGAGAGAGAGAGAGAGAGAGAGAGAGAGAGAGAGAGAGAGTCTGCACACACACAGAGAGAGAGAGAGAGAGAGCACTCTCTCTCTCTGTGTGTGTGTGTGCAGACTCTCTCTCTCTCGGCGCTGACGTAACCCGGCGCACAACAAAGGGTTCAAAGGCCACATGCTGCGCTTCTGGGGCGATTATTTCTTTACAAGTAAATAAATATTACAATAATATATGTCCATTATATTTAGCTTGTATACACGCAATCTATATTATAATATATTCTAATGATTCCCTTTATAGATTTTTTTTCATGAATAAATTATATCAAAATTCTACAAATTTATATTACAAACACATTTTTATTAATTGTTGACGATTAAATCAGTTTTAAAATATTAATATAGAAAAGCATATGCATGTATTAATAAACATTTAATGAACTGGTGACAAAAATGCAGCTCAACTTTTGTTTTGTTACACACACACACACACATATATATATATATATGTATAACAGAAAACGAAAGAATAACAGAAAAATATTTTAATTATGGAATTTTATGTGCACACACACACACACATATAATTCCATATATTATACTATAAAAACATTTAATTAACTAATAAATAAATAAATGTTAGAAATACTTTAATGTTAATTATTATGGAAAATATTGAAATGGAAAAACCAAATGTATTAATAAACATTTAATTAACAATCCATAAATATATTTTATATTATAAACATTTGATAAAAACTAAATAAATTTGCAAATATTTAAATATGAACATTAATTAGTCACAAAGGTTTGTAACTCAACATCAAACGCCAATATTTGCATTAAAAGAAGAAATTAATATGTTGACGTGTTGAAAGTCTTTTATTTTCCGAGTTTACAAAATTATGTGTCCCTCAGCTACAAGGTTTGTATACTCAAAAATGATCTAAGTTTTCTTGCAAATAAAGGGCAACATACAAAAACACCTCTCCTGCATATTTCAAATATGACTGCACAATGCAACCATTTGTGACAAAAAAAAAATAAAAAAATCAGGGTTTGAGTCAATCATCTATTCAGTTTAATCATGGGTGTGTGAAGAATTAGTGTAAACGAAAAACAAGCCATCTACTGACTGACCAAACACTGGATAAACAGATGCATCATGCAGATCTCTGTACTGTAAGCGTTCAGTCCATAATGATAAACACATACATGCTTGATCCAATCTCGTGTCATTGAAAAATATCTCCAGAAATATTGTAAAACTATCCATTTCTTTTAATATTCAAAGATATCAGCTATGCATTTATAGATTCATGAATACAAAAACCTAAAAGCACCAATGTAAGAGCTTATGTCTACGCTCAATAGCACTGTAACAAAAGCTAAAATATTAAGGAACCAGGAAGAATTGAGCACCTTATTTGTACCAGCCATCACAAACCAATATGTACTACTAGAAGATTATTTCCATAACCAAGTCATAACAACATGGCATTTCGTTTGTATGCATGTATATAAAAAAAAACTAATTTGTGTAAAACTTTCTTGATTTGAAATTAGCTTACGACGTCTGAATAAAAAAAAAAAAAAAACTGGACTTGTGTCATACTCAAAGGAAATATATTGTGTCGAACTCACTCAAACCCTCTGCGTTATGCTGGAAAACCCAAATCTCATGGACATGATGGAGCCAAACATTAAATGCACTGTACAAAAATAGAGCAAATCCACTTCAAACAAGTTAAAGCTAGAAAAAACGTGAATTTGGTTTTATAAAACTGCTTGAAATGTTAGTCAAACATTCACAGTAGAGTTGGAGAAGAAAGGCAGGAGAGCGGGTGGGATTCTGCATAGAGATCAGCTCAAGTCGGAGTGCGTCTTTGGGTTTGGGGAGGAAGAAAACAATCGTCCAGGTCGTTCTCATCCCTGCAGACACAGAGATGAACAGCATTACAATCAAACTCAAACGAGATCTTTCATCCATGCTGAGATCTTCATTACACATCCTTGAATAAAGATCTGATCACAGCCTTGACATTTTAGTTTGAAGCAGGGTTGCACTGGTTCACAATTTGTTTTCTGAAACGCTTGATGTGAGGGTAACGACAGCAGCATTGGGGAAAGAAATAAAAACAACAATAATAATTTAAAATAAAATATATTAATAATAAAAAATTTAAATACATAAATTCTGTATACACATATACCAAATTAACTAATAATAGGCTTGTTTTGCAGATAATTGCAAAGTGGATTTTCCTGATATTTAATACACTTCGCAAAACCAGGAAAAATTGAGCACCTTATTTGTACCAGTTATCACAAACCAAAATGTATTACTACTGCATTATTTCCAAGATATTACATGTAAAAATGATGTTAGAGACGATCATGATTTGACAAATTTTACAGTACACAAATACCAAATGAATTAAAAATAGGCTTCTTTTGTTCTAAGTAGGGCTGGGAATCGATTCCGAGGCGTTGGGAATCAAGAGTCAAGGGGAATCGACTCCTCATTCAGAGCCCTTTTCAGTTCAACAAAGCTTATCTATGCGTGCCTCTCAAACGGAAGGCTGCACACATTTAAATTCACGAAAATAAACTGAAAGAAAAGGAGTCGGTACTGAGATCATCTGAATTTTAGGATGCAGCCTTCCGTTTGAGAAGCACCATTCACCTCCCTCATGCTCGCTAAAAGCCGTAATTACCAGAGTTGTGAGATAGAAGATTATTTTCATTTCTATATTACCATTCGCCTCCCTCGTGCTCGCTAAAAGTGATTAGAAGTCATTAAAAAAACGATTCAGAGGTTATTTTACGGTGGACCTGGTTTGTCCACAATTTTGAGCGCTGCACGACAGAATAGATCATCAAGGGCCTTGATCTTATTTCCATCTAAAATACTATTTTTTTTAAACATTTCTATCAGCCAATGATAATTATAAAAGAAAACGTCCCGAGCATAGATCAGTGGCTGAGAGCGCATCTGATTGACAGATAAACCACGAGCTCTATCAGTTATTGTTAATGTTCTGGTTATTTTGTTTCAGTGTACAGTTTGTTAATTTTGTGCAAAGCATACAGTCAAAGTAAACTTCATCATTCAGCTGAACTGTGCACATTTATTTTAGACACTTCATGTCATGTTCAATTAATGCGATAAACGCATGTCCCTGCTGAGCTGTGGGCTATGACTAATTCCACGGGCAAAGCAGACAAAATGACAATTTATGTATTGTCATTTTTATTTTTTTTACAAATAAAGCTTCATATTATGAGAAGGATACCTTCTACGACCTTTATCCTGCAATCATGGTGAGATTATAGATTCCTTATTCCTTAATTTCAGAATCGAACAGCCCTAGTTCTAAGCATAATTGCAAATTAGATTTTTGCTTAATATTTTATGCATTTAAGTCCCAAATGCCCTAAACTGAAAAATGACAGCAAACTATACATTTCTACAATCATTCAAAAATAGTAGTAAAAGTAAGAAAGTAGTTAGAGATTAATATAATTTAATAAAATGATTATATATATAGGTCGATACAAACAAAGGAATAATTTTTCATCCCCCTCGCTAAATGAAGAATCATCCATTAGTCTGGTTTGTGTTCTCTTACAGCTATACAGACTCGGTTTCCTCGTCGGTGGACTCTTCCTTCAGAGATTTGGCCTCGGTGGAGGCTTCCTCCATGTGTGCGAGCATGTCTGCCATGAGCGCTTCCTCCAGCCTCTTCCTCACGCTATACACCAGATCTTCCTGCTTCCTGTGGACGATGCATCTTCATCAAACAGCATCTGAGATTAGTGCTCATTATTCTACTGCAACATACTGGAGCTCAAAACATCCTTCCCAGCCCAAAACTGCAGGAACCACTACTATTGATATACTATTAATAATCTGTATTACACTTTATTTTTTATTTTAATATTTTCTGTTTTCACTTAAATTTGAGTTGAAATATTAGTCATTTTATTGTGTTTTCGTAATTTTTTTGTTTAGTTTTTTTGTCTACTTAATTTTTTTTATTTAGTTATTTTAGTACTTCAAATTAAACTGTTTTTTGTCGTCTATATAGTTTTTATTATTTTTTTTATTTAGTCATAGTTTGGTTTTCATTATTTTAGCACTTCAAATTAAACAGTTTTTGTCTATATATTTTTTATTAATTTTTATTTAGTTGTTTAGTTTTCATTATTTTAGTTCTTCAAATTAAACTAAACTTTGATTTTTGTTGTGTCTATATAGTTTTTTAAATATATTTTTATTTGGTTGTAGTTTAGTTTTCATTATATTAGCACTTCAAATTAAACTTTTTTGTCTATATAGTTTTTATAAATTTTTATTTAGTTGTAGTTTAGTTTTCATTATTTTGGCACTTCAAGTTAAACCCAATGAAAATTAGGAATGTTGCTAAAATAAGCTGAAATAAAATAAATTTAAATTATTTGATAAAACAACTTACTTTATTAGACTAGCTGAAATATTAATATATTAATAACAATCTAGTTTTCGTAAACAATAACCCTAGGTTAGACAGAAAAAAAATCAACAAACATCAAAATGAGTTTATTCCTAAATAGCAGAAGAATGAAAATGTGTTTTACGAATCAGAGACTGTTATTGAATGATAGGGAAGTTATAACCTGCACTGGATGTGACATTAAACTCACAGAAAAGAGCCGTTTCTCACGTCACGTGATGATGGCGTTTATACAGATGTTTTAAAAGACTCAGCAGTAAAAAACAGCCTGTTTTACTTAAGAATTAGACAAGTTAACCTTAGAAAGGAAAAAAACATCCTAATATGTACTAATATTCATTATATCATTCGAGTATTATTCCTATAACGCTAATGCACATCAGCAACTCACCAGGAACACCAACAATCTCAGACACCTTGGTCCACGCATCTTTTTAAAATTTATTTATGTCCCTGTACGCAAACAGGGACACGCCATAGATTATTGGGAAACCCGCCACAGCAATAATCAACCTCTCCTCCATTTTGCTTGGGAACTAATGTGGTCGGAACCAAAGTTTACAGGACTGCGTTCTCTGGAATCCTCTCAAGCGGTGGACTTCTACATTCCGATTGTTTGCCGCCGAACCGCGTCATAGCTCATTACCATAAAGTTGACCTGATTTCAACTCTCCTCAATGTCCAAGACGTGCCGCGCCGCTCCTCACACCGGCTCACATTGTAAATGAATGACTTCAGGCCACTTTGACGCTCTCGACGGCGGCGGTG